ATGATAACGATTGATTATGATGTATTATGATGGGAAATATTAGAGTTCCAAGTAATACGTTTTGAGTAGATCTTTGAAGGAAAAAAGGGACTGAGCACGTCGAACATATAACGACAAGAAGTTCCACAAGCGTACAGCTGTAACCAAAATAGATTTATCGAAGAAGGAGGATGAGTGTACTGGAATATGAAGCGAAAAATTGATAGTGGAACGTATATGACGATCGTGAGAGGAGGAAATGAATTCAAAGCGGTCTTTCAGGTAACTTGGAGTAGAGGGATTGAACAGTATGTTGTAGTGAAAGGATGTGAGTATTCCTGCGAAGGCGAATCAGCAGCCACTTGAGACGTTTACGAAATTCTGAAATGTGATCATATTTACGGAGTCCAAATATGAATCGTAAGCATAAATTTTGAATTATTATATATAATTTTTATTTTGTTTAGCTCTTAATTCATGAGGTACTTTATTAATTTTATTGCTGTTACATAAGGAGTGTGCCTGAAGATTTTAATATGATAATTAGGCTGATGGAGCTTAGGCATTTTTATTTTTGAGGATTGTGTCAATAAAGATTAAATAGTTATTTTTATTAATTTATATTTTTCTGAAATTTACATGCCAGGTAGTGAAAGAATTTATAATTTAAGGAAATGTGGTTTACATGTATCTGCATTTTGGATATTAACGGTAATACGTATTAATTTTCATGCAATATAAAACGGTCATATTCGTTCGCACTATTCCCCCATAAAAAAAAGTCATAATTTAGCCACAAACAGGCTGCTGTTGCTGTATTCTGATCCATGCTTTATTCAAAAAGTGTGTATGTGAATTTGGGTAGTTTGGCCTTTATTTTTTCCAAAGAGATTTAAAACTACTTAAATGTCTTTGATTTTTTCTATAAGTACACTCCATTTTAAGTGGGTTGACGGTTGATAAGTGACATTATGATAGCTATTAGACTGCAATTATTAATTTTTTTATGTCGCGTTATTATTTTTAGTTGTGTGGTTAAATAAAAGAAATCTATTATTTAAGGTTTGGCGTAGTTTATTAATAAGGTTATCATTTTTAATATTGGTCTTTTATCCTTACTTGGTATCGTTTATTATTGTAAGTATTAATTTTTTTTCGGATGCTCGAGTATATGAATATATACTCGCATATTAGGAACAGTATACAGCCCACAACACTTATTTAGGGGATAAAACCGTTTTTAAGTATGTTTTAGAATCATGATGATAAATTAGCACTAATAGAGTTCTATTTTTCATTTAGAAGATATGTAACATTTGGATCTCTGATTCCTATATTGTATAACTTTGGTAACACAATGTCATATATAATAGCTTTATCACATGTTGGAGTAGAACGCCAACCGCATAATGTTTTTAATTAATGCAAGTTAGTGCTTGATGTACCAATTTATGAATGATTAAAAAATAAACCACTTTGGATTTTTGTCTTTTCTTTTAATAACTTTATATCAAACTAGCAATCCGCCCCGGCTTCGCATGGGTGATTTCTGGATCTCGACAACAGCACCACTTACCGTGTCCAATTTTGAATCTAAACCCTCCCAGGATTCACTCAAACACAGATTTTTTTAAATAAATATCGGTCTAGCCTTTTAGTAGGAGTTCAGTGACAAATGCACGTACAGAATAATTATATATAATACTAATGATCCGCCCCGGCTTTGCACGGGTGATTTCTGGATTTCGATAACGGCGACACCGACTGGGTCCAAGGGTGTGAATCTAAACCAACCATGGTCCCACTCAGCATAAACAAGCATGCGGCTCACCTGATGGTAAGTGACTACCGCCGCCCATGAACAACTGCAACACCATGGGACTTGCAAATGCGTTGCCGGCCTTTTAAAAAGGAGTAGGCTCTTTTCTTGAAGGTCCCTAAGTCGTATCGGTCCGGAAAAACCGTTGGTTGTTATCAATTCCACAAGGAAGTTGTGCGAGGAAGAAAACTTCTTCTAAATCGCACAGTGGTAGACCGCTAATCATCTACATCGTATGGATGGTATCGCGAGTTTTATTGCAATGTGCGATGGTGAAATAGAGCGGCTGTATATATATATATATATACGAGTATATACCGACAGTCCACTTGGCACCGCCGAAGGGACTGCAGCACCGCCCAAATTTCGTCGGAATCAAAGGCTTTCTCATAGTCCACATACGCCAGACATAGTGGCAAATTGTACTCCTCTGACTTTTGTACAATTTGCCGAAGGGTATGTATGTGGTCTATGGTGCTAAAGCCTTTTCGGAAACCCGCTTGTTCGAGAGGCTGGAAGTCGTCAAGTCTGCGCGCGAGACGATTCGTAATGACTCTCGAAAACAGCACGTAGACGCGACTCGGAAGAGAAATCGGTCTGTAGTTCTTCAAGAGAGCGTTCTCACCTTTCTTGAAGAACAAGACTACCGCACTTCTGCTCCACGCCTCCAGTGTAATGCCACCATGGAGGACGGAATTAAAGAGCTTCTGAAGGACTTCAAGTACCGGTTTTCCACCCGCTTTCAGAAGCTCCGCTGTAATTCCATCCTCGCCTGGGGCCTTGCCGTTTTTAAGGTGCTGGAGAGCCATTCTAATATCGCTCAGACTGACGTCCGGGATACCATCGGAATAACGTCGGATAAGACTCGCTCTTGGATCGTTACTCACACTTGCGTGTGGCTCCAACGATGACGTGTACAGCTGCCCATAGAACCTCTCAATCTCACTCAAAATCTTAGGTGCCCCGGAAACGATGCTGCCACACTCGGTCCTCAGCTTTGACAGTTGGCTCTTTCTGGCAGACAGATCTCTGGCAAAGACTTTGGAGCCTTGGTTTCGCTCGATCGCTTCTTCAATACGAGCTGTATTGAAGTTGCGTAAGTCACGCCGCGTATATCGAAGTGCTGAAGTGCTTATACAGTAAGGCTACGATGGCTATCTGAGTACAGAACCAGAGTACGAAACCTATCCAATTGCAGAGAGGTGTAAGACAGGGTGACGTCATATCCCCGAAACTCTTCACTGCTGCATTGGAAGACGTTTTCAAGCTTCTGGACTGGAAAGGATACAGTATCAACATCAATGGCGAGTACATCACTCTCCTTCGATTTGCCGACGATATAGTACTTATGGCAGAATCGCTGGAGGACCTAAGCACTATGCTCAATGACCTCAATAGTGCTTCCCAACGGATAGGTCTTAAAATGAACATGGACAAAACAAAGATCATGTTTAATGTCCATGTCACACCTATGCCGGTAGATGTTGGGAGCGCTAAGCTCGAAGTTGTTGACGAGTATGTTTACCTGGGACAAATAGTCCGACTAGGTAAGTCCAACTTCGAACGAGAGGTCAATCGACGGATTCAACTCGGTTGGGCAGCGTTCGGGAAATTACGGCACATCTTCTCGTCAGGTATACCTCAAAACTTGAAAGCGAGACTGTACAACTAGTGCGTGTTGCCAGTGATGACATACGGAACTGAGACGTGGTCGTTCACTGCTGGCCGGATGAGGAAGCTTAAGGTCGCTCAGCGAGCTATGGAGAGGGCTATGCTCGGAGTTTCTTCGCGTGATAAACTCAGAAACGAGGATATCCGCAGTAGAACCAGAGTGACCGACATAGCCCAACGGATTAGTAAGCTGAAGTGACAATGGGCCGGCCATATAGCTCGAAGAACCGACAACCGATGGGGAAGAAAGGTTCTCGAGTGGCAGCCTCGTACCGGCAGGCGAAGTGTTGGGCGTCCCCCCACTAGATGGAGTGACGACCTGGTAAGATATGCAGGAAGTTGATAGATGCAGGTGGCTCAGGACCGTGCTTTGTGGTATTCCTTGGGGGAGGCCTATGTTCAGCAATGGACTTGTGAAGGACTGTAATGATGATGATGATAATGATATATATATAAACATGTATATGAGATTCGCGATAACTGATGATAGAATTGTATTACGATAACCGCTGAGGTGTGACAGAGTGAAGACCACGCTTAGGTAAAAACAGTGTGTAAGACAACCCCTGGCTAGATGGAACGACGATCTGGGCTATAAGGGTGGTAGTAACTGAATACTTGAAGCCAAAGATTTGCCTAAATTGTGCGCCCTGGGAAAAATCTTTGTCCACCAACGGACTGCCGCAGGCGGGTGATGATGTGGCCTACTAAAAAGAATATGATCACTACGTTTTACACTTGAAAAGAAACTAAAATTAGTAATTTTAATTTGGAGGTAGCCGTGGTTTACTATGACACTGGAACTGTAAAGTGCTCGAAACGTCGGGAATATAAAATAAGTTAATATACGCGATAAAATCCGTAAAAGTTAGTTTTATTCGAATTATTTAGGTGGAATAAATGCAACCTAAAATATTAGTGAAGTAACTCCCGCGTACTATGAGAGTTTTATATTAATAATATATGAGCCGGTTCGTTAATGCCACAGCTGGGCAAGGGTCTCTTTTCCCTCCTTACGACGTGTGCAGGCTATTATCAAGAATTTCACATTCTTGGCGTATAAAGTATGAGTCAAGCTCTTCTATCCATTTTCGTCTAGGCCGGCCACGTGTTACTAGTATTTTACTCCTTGTTTGCCTGTTCCATCCAAAAATATCCGCTTATATATGTTTTAGGCAGGTTATGGTATTTACCAATTTGACATAATGGTGCTTTTACACTAGTCTTACACAATTTATTTATTAATACTAGGTTAAACTTATGATACTTATTTCAAAACTAAGTGCGGTTTAAATAATTCGTAAGTAACTGTATCCAATGATTCAACGTTTAAGTGAACCCACAGATTTAATAAATTTGTTTGGATAATAAAAAATGGCTTATTTTTCTATTAGGTACAAAAAAAATTAAAGTTAGCTTGTTATTAGTTATTACACTGTTTTTTTGTGTTTATGTCCATTTTGTGATCATTAATTAAATAAATACTTATTCGAAAATCATGGTATGGTTAAATGAGTAGATTTTGTGGTACCTGTGAGAGGTCGAAATGCGGAACAGCTCGCACTTCTGGACACTTCCTTTTGTTCACTATTCTTCCAAAAGCAACGACGCACAAAATAGCTAGGATCACAAACCAAAGCACTGTTTTGGCCATTGTTTCCAACTGGCTCCCTGCGAAAACCTAAGAGAATTACGATAAAAAAGACGCTCAAAAATCACTCAATTGTTTGCAATATTTAACTTTAACTTGCTTTGATTGCCAAAACGTATTATTCATTTGAGGGTTAACGTTGAACTAACAAAAGGGAATTGTTATCAATATTGTATGGGACATTTGTTAATGTGTTGGCATGGAACGCTTACAGCATACCATTATCATGATGTACCTATGAGTCATTTTATTTATTCTGGTATTTTTGTGTATTGTTTTTCTTTTGATAAATACTGTAATACTTTGTAACAGTATTAAATAATGATCTCTATGCAATTCCTAAAAAATATCAAATAAATCGATATTGGTATATATTTAATTAATGATCTACATATTAATAAATTTGTTGACAAATAACGTTTAATAGATCTAAATGTCACCATCATAATAATAGCCTAATAAACTATTAATGTACCTTAATAAACTACTAATGTTATGTTTAACTATTATTGTTCTTTTGAGAGAACATAATAAACAAGATAATAAATCCCATGGTCTCAAAAGTCGCGGTAAAACCATCTCAAATATACTATACTTATAGTGCAAAAAATCTGATACTGCCAGTTTGTCAACGACTCACGATAATCTTAAAACATTCTTTGTCAATTTTTTTACATCATGTATGTAGGTAGGTATACCGTAAATCGAAACTACACAAATAAGAGCTAGATTTTATTAAGACGTAATAGAAAACGAGAAGTGTGAAAAATACTATCGACACTTGCTTGAAACTAATAATCTATTAAAATGGTAGTCGATTAAAAAATATTTTTGAACATAATACATTATTTTGATTTTTTAATTTATAGGATAAGAGCAACAAACGATCACACAGTCCACCTGAGCCCATAGACATCTACAACAATCGTCGATTAAAAATCAAAGTGCGGATACGTTTTCACCCCTGAGGACTAAGATGGGTTGCTTCATTTCTAGTATCTAAAAAGGGTCTCCGGTTCACTCACCATACGAAATACAGCAGCATTAAGCTGCTATTTTGCGCTGTTATTATCTTTTTGTTTCTATTTTATTTATTACGTCGTAAAATATTAAGACCTTATTTTAATCTGCTGATCTCGGAAAGAAAGCGAGTTACTAGCTCGGAGTATACGACTTAGAATATCTATTGGATATCCTTCCTATTGAGTGCCGTTTCTTGCGAGACATCCGATTACGTAGTACTAATTTTTATTTTGTGCCGATACTGTCTATTATCGCTAAGCAGCTTCCCAAGCGTTCAAAGTAATAAACGAGCGTATAGTTTATCTGATGTCGATTTGCATTGCACTATTATTTGACAGCAGAAAAAGATGAGATAGTGGTACCTCCCCAAACAGAGAGACTTACAAGTCCAAAGATTAAAAGAGTAATAAAACCCGACTGCGTAAAAAAAAATTACTAAAAAGAAAAAGTTTCAGATGTCGTTACACTATACTATCTTTTCTTTAAACGCACTTTTCTTTAGTCTGTGTAGACATGGTAACAATTGACTCATTCTTAGCTTTTATTGCACGCCTCATCACGCGAAGCGTTATTAGGCAGTGCTTTACTCTCGACACTTCAAGGTCAAGCAATTTTGTGTTCTTAAAATACCTATATCATAACCATATTGCACTTATACGACAAAACGAGTAGCCTTATATGAAGAAAACACTAATTAAACTATTTTATATTTTCTAACAAACATTCTATATTGCTATGAAAAAAAAAACCGGTTTGAAAAAAATTTTACCTGGACCTCTGAATTTTCATTTTGTATGTGGTAATGATAGGTAACTCCTGAAAAAATTTACGTACCGTGACCGGGATTTTTTTATTAGCTTCAGAATTACAACAACTGGTTCGTTATTTCATATCATTAGCCTAGTACTCGTAGTTTGTTAATAAAATGATTTTCAACTTTTATGAGTTTTATTGCTACTAAAAATTTAAAGGCGCTTTAATATTTTTTAGCCCTTGATAGACAAAAGACAATTGTACCATATAGCCTATATCAATTTTATACTTTGTACAATCGATTTATCTTGGTAGACATTATTAATTTTTTTACAAGCTTTTATTTAACTTGCAATGTAATTATGTTTGTTCGGGTCGAATGTTGCAACTCGATTTTGAAGCAGATATCTTCAACCGATTAAGCTGAAATTTTGTATAAACGTTTAGTTTGGATGATAATGTATGGTTAGCTGTGTGACGTCATTCTAAATACAACATGACGGAACACCTAAGATGGCGGATTAGTTATTTTTAACGCACTCTTACATGGGTATTAATAACTCGAAAAATAAAGTGACGTCACTCTAAATTCACAATTCCAATATGGCGTACTTCTAAACATGTCGGACTAAGTTTTTTTATGTTTTCCTACAATATGGGTATCAAGTGAAAGGTCTTGCTGAGAATATTAATACGAGTTACAAAAAAGATGGTGATCATAACCTACGTTGCTCCAATCCGTCTGAAAAGAGCTAGACTATTCGAAATTAACCGGCAAACGACCTTGCAACAATGATGCGTTGAATGAGATGAAGAGACTGAGAAACCTGTCCAACGATAACTAAAAAGTAAAAAATAAATTAAAAGTAAAAACACTTTTTTAAAAACAAGCCCTAAAAATAATAAAATAAACTTTTCCTTTAAAACTTTTACTATCAACCTAAAACGTCACTACACAATTAATATGATATAAAAATTTGTCACGAGATTTACCTGTAAATTATATAAACAAGTAAATTTGTGGCGGCGCTGTCGTCGCGCCACAAGCGAAAACACATCGAAGCCTAAATCGCGCTATCAAAGTTCCGAAATTAAAGCAGCATATATAGAATAGCTCCGAACTACCAATCGGAGCGTTGGCTGCTCCCCGGGCAAAACACCTTGCCCGCCGGGAGATCTCCCCTTTTCCTTCCACCCGCCACAAATTAAATAACTTGATCTGATTGATTTTAATTTTTAAAATTTTCATTCTCTGTAGGTGACACTACCTGTTAAAATAATAATAATAGTCATCATAATTACAACCCTCCACCAGTGGAGTCCTGCACAAGTCCACTGCTGAACATAGGCCTCCTCCAAGAAATGCCACAAAGCATGGTCCTGAGCCACCTACCTCCAGTGACCTCTTGCATGTCTTACCAGGTCGTCACTCCATCTAGTGGGGGGGGGGGAGGGTTGTCATCACGCAGAGAAACCCCAAGCATAGCCCTCTCCATAGCTCGCTGAGCGACCTAGAGCTTCCTCATACGGCCAGCAGTGAAGGACGTCTCAGTTCCATAAGTCATCACTGGCAACACGCAGTGGTTTTACGTTTTCATTTTCAAGTTTTGAGGTATACGCAATAAGTTGTCATTAACGGTATGAGTTCTTCCGGGTCGATGGTACAAATGGGCGTGCCTCAAGGCTCAATTCTCGGCCCCTTTCTGTTTCTTGTATACATTAATGACTTACCTTACATAGTAGGAGATAACCATGATATAGTATTATTTGCAGATGACACTTCTTTAATTTTCAAATTAAGTCGACAATTGCTAAAATATGACGAAGTAAATAATGCTATATCTAAATTAGTAAATTGGTTCAATGTTAATAATTTGCATTTAAATGGCACTAAAACGAAATGTATGAAATTTATGACTCCGAATGTCAAACAATTAAATACTGATGTAATTTTAAATGGGGAGAAACTGAGTCTTGTAGATACCACCATTTTTCTTGGAGTCACACTAGACGCAAAGCTTCAATGGAGCCCCCATATATCAAAACTAGCAAGCAGACTTAGTTCTGCAGCATATGCCGTAAAAAAGATTAGAAGTCTAACTAGTGTTGAAACAGCTAGACTAGTTTACTTTAGCTATTTCCATAGCATAATGTCGTATGGTATTTTGCTATGGGGACACGCAGCTGACACTGAAATTATATTTGTTTTACAGAAGAGGGCCATAAGAGCAATTTATGATTTAAAGCCTAAAGAGTCGCTGCGACAAAAAAATAAGGAAATTAATATATTAACTTTGGCCTCTCAATACATTTATGAAAATGTAACCCATCAAAAACATTCTGTAAAAAACTAGCCAAGTCTCGATGGAGCTGCTTGTTTATCTCTAAAAAGTAATGAAATCTAGACAAAGTCGTGCCAAGTCTAAGGTTCCATACTGCGATTTCTTTATTATTATAGTTAATGTTGTGTGACTTGGCCGTTGAAGGGTACACAAGGGTACAAAACCAGGTGCTACATTGCATACACACCATTGCACCAATCTGTCGCCAGAACCGCTACCCATTGACGATGGAAAATTGCCACTTGGGAAACGTTGATTGAATAACCAGTCAATTGTAAGCTTGATAAAGTTGCGTTTACACGTAATGTTGCACGTAATTATGTTTACACGTAATGTTATATCTGTTGCAGCTACCTATGTTTGTTAAGCGAGATAATAGCCCATAGTGGTATTGGTAATTTGACGCTAGTGTCTCATTTTAGACGGTTGTTGATTGTGCAACACATGCATTGACAATGCTGACTTCCGCTCTCTTCTTTTTGGAGCGTCAAATCGACCACCGATCTAACATAAAATAGACGTACAAACGGACTTCTATCAATGATTAGAAGTCCGCCTGTACTGGAAATAATTTTTTATACTGTTTGTTTCAGGCTCGCCTATACAAAAGTATTATTGAAATACGCAGCTTTATCAAGCCTACAATTGACTGGTTATTCAATCAACGTTTTCCAAGTGGCAATTTTCCATCGTCAATGGGTAGCGGTTCTGGCGACAGATTGGTGCAATGGTGTGTATGCAATGTAGCACCTGGTTTTGTACCCTTGTGTACCCTTCAACGGCCAAGTCACACAACATTAACTATAATAATAAAGAAATCGCAGTATGGAACCTTAGACTTGGCACGACTTTGTCTAGATTTCATTACTTTTTAGAGATAAACAA